CCGCAGCAGCCGCAGCAGCCGCAGCAGCCTCAGTCACTGCCAACGACGACTGGGAGCTCGACTTGGACGACGTTGTAAACGTAATCGATAACCAGTTCCGAATTGTTGCAATGAAACCGAAAGCGGAAAAGCCAACCGATTGAAGTAGTCAGCCAGGCAGTTAGCCAAGCGAGTGGAGCGGCAGCCACAGCCACAGCCACAACCACAGCAAGAGCCAATGAGCCATGCCAACTGCATACGTTAAATTATTACGCTAAATTGGCCAAGACGTTGGCAACGCAGCTCTTTACGGTACCGAGCACTGGCTGGGTTGGCTGGTTCAGCACGCACTTAATGCAAATTGAATTGTAGCAATTTGAAGGTCATACGCCCTTGCCCAAAATATGCAAATTGCTGCTGAGCCGTTGATCGCGTTGTGGGCATGTGAAAAATGCTTTTCTTCCGCCTAGAGCGTGGCCAAGCGCTCGCTAGCTGCCACTAGCCACGTTCATGACAATGAACTCTCTACACAGAGTGCTCCCAACGAACGTGGCCAATTAGTTATAATGCTGCTTCGTGATATCACAACATCTGGCAACTCACTCTCGAAGTACACACACACACACACACATATAGACAGTCAGAGAAGAGAACCCCAGACCAGAGACCTTAGAGTTCCAGCAGCAGACCCCTCAGATGTGGCTGTAGCTGCAGCTAGAACCAGAGCCAGAGCCAGAGCCAATAAGGAAAAACTCGACGCTCGCCAAGGAAATTACTCAAGTCTGCAAAGTATGTAGCAACAAACAACAACAATAAGAATAGTTGGCAATACGGATAGAACAACGACAACAACAGCAACAACAACAACAACAACAACAACATGAAAAGTGAACAATGACAATCTGCACGTAGCAATCAGTCAACGTGCGGCAGTTGGTTTAACTTTAACTTGTTGCCAGCGATAGTGTGTGCGAGCGAGAAGGGAGAAAGGTAGAGAGAGACAGAGAGAGAGGAGGGAGAGAGAGAGAGGCAGCGAAAGGGGACTATGGAGAGTGAGTGTGGAAGGCGGTTAGATCCGAGAACTTCCCGTAAACGACAACTGCAAAATGCAAAACGTGGAAAAACTTTAGCGGTTAGCTGACTGTCAATAGAGATGAGCAATAATTGCGATGCGCAAATATTTTAGTTAGCTTAAATCGCATAAAATATACATGTAGAAATATTTCATTTCAAATCCAAATATTTATTTTACAACATTGAAATAGGATATTCAATTTCCAAAAACTTAGAGCACAAAGAACAATTTAATAACTTTACTAGAAAGGCAAGACAATATAATTTGCATATTTCTTCTTCTAAAAAAATAATAATAGAATTCGACAAAGAATTTTAAAACGATTTTGCCCCAGATACATAATCAAATTCGATCAAAATCAATCAATAAATACTTTGAATAAATAAGAGCAAATTTACAAAAATCATAAAGTTAGAAAATTCCAAAAACGTTGACCATATGCATTGAAATTAAATATATAAAATTATATTTTTATTATAATATGAACGTATGCCAAGGAGTTTTTTGTCTTATACGACTTTTTTTGTCTACAATATTTTTTTGGTTACTCACAATAAATAATTATGATAAATAATATAAAACATATATAATATACATATTAATCATAGTACTAGAAGAATAATTATACAAGTTTTAATACACGACGAGTTTTTGGTAAAAAAAACTTTATAGCTAGATGATTCTTGTTTTTAAGCATTTTAGTGACAGTCACTATCGCTGCCATCAGTCACTGTCATCTCTAGCGAGCTGTGACTCGAACGCCCACACATGCAAACGCGGATGCACCAACACAGATGCGCTGTGAAACACGCACGAAGGAAGGGCAGCGCCGCTGAGCCTGGTCATACATATTTGCACTTAATTAGCCGCTTATGTTGCTATTGTTTTTGCTTTTGCTTTTGTTGCTGTTGTTGTTGTTGCTGGTGAAGAGAATAGACAGCAGCAGCAGCCACAAAGTGGCATATTTTATGCAAGCGAGCATAATTCATAATTGTAAAGCGAGCTGACAGACGTTTTAGCACTGCCAGAATGTGCGCTCTGTGCGCAGTTAGTGACTAGAAATCTTATTTGCTGAGCTCCAAATGAAGTCAGGCAGCAGCAGCAGCAGCAGCAGCGGCAGCAGCAGCAGCAACATTGGCCGTGCTCCAAGAATTAAGCCAAATTTGCCGCTTCAGCTGGCGGCAAAACAGCAGCCGCAGCCGCAGCAGCAGCAGCCGTGGCAGCAGTCACAGCTGAAAACTAGTTTGCAAATGTGCATGCAAACACACTCACATGCAGCACACACACACACACACACACATGTGCAGGCTTACACATGTATTTTCATTTTCTGACACATAATTCCAGATTCACAGCTCGTGCGCCGCCAGAGCAGCCAGGCAGCAGAAACAAGCGAGCTTAATTGCAGTATTTGTTCTAAGTTAATTAGAAAACCAAGACTGTGAAGCAGCAGAGACAGAGAGGGGTAGGTGCTAGGGGCCAGGGGCTGGAGAAAAGCTAAAGCAAAGCCAGCGCTCAGATAGATGGCGCATGTGTGTAACTGCTGCATTTAACACTGTCAAGAGTTCAGCAGTCGCAGTTGCAGTCGCACTCATAGCAGCAGCAGCAGCAGCAGCAACAACAGCAGCAGCAGCAGCAGAAATCCCAGTCCCGGTGTCCAGTTTAGCAATTCTACAGTCTACGTGTTTTTCTTTTTTTATCTCAGTCTCAGTTATTTCTGTTCGGTTTTTATGTCATTAACATACTTTACTGTGTGTACCCTATAAATGTGTGTGTTACTTTGGCCTGCGAGCTGTTGAAAATATAATAATCATAATTTATAAGCATGTCTGCAAAAGCGGGCAGCAGGCAGCGGGCAGCGACAGCATTCTCATGCCTGGCTCTGATTTAGGCTCGCCAAGGCGCTCACTGCTGATTGGCTCCCATTTGTTTGGCTTTGCATTTTAAGTGATATTTATACGAGTATGTACGAAAATACCTCTATATCAGTCGACTCTAATGATAAGCTCGTGCTCAGTCCAAAAATAGTGGAGCTCAAGGCGTGCTCAAACAAAAGACTTAAGCGACAAACTTGATGAAGTAGTTGCTTGATTAGGACAAGTTGGCTGCATATAATAATGCATTATTAATGCAATCAAAAGTGAATATTATTGGCGCGATCGAACCAGTTTTCAATAGATGAAAGCCGGAATTAAGTCGTATTTCGGCTCTTTTCTCCTTTGCAAAGCTTTGTGTGTAAAGTTTCATTCATAGCTCAAATGACTTTTCACATATTTAATATACGTTTTCTATGTTATATATATGTCGAATATAGGCTTTAATATATTTAAAGAAAATAAAATATAAATAAATATATTATATTATTTATATATCAATATTCATTAATTGGGGCTGCTAGCTGATCCCATTTAGTTTCTTAATGATGAATGTCTTTCAACTCAGTTATCGATTCTCAGTTATCTCTTGGAGCGCCTCTAACAATTCAGTTTGCTGCTTTGAAGCACACACACTTATAATATATTTCTAGTCACTATAACGCTAAAGTTCTCATAAAACAAGAAAACATTTTCGATTCATTTATCAAAATATCTTTCCGAAAGCACGTAATAAACGAGAAATGATCAGAGATTGAATTTTGAAATATTTGTTGGTTGAACAAAGAAGCAAATAGAGTTATATAAACAGTCGAAGATCTGGCCGAGTCGGTCAGCGTGATGGGAATGATAAAGTTGAAAGCGTCTTACGAATCGATGTGCTGTTAATGACCTTGTCGCACAAAAACTGTAATAAGGCAAAACTATGTTTGAATTCCTACGAAAAACGCTTTGGGTTTTGCTCAATGCGATAAACGAGCCACAATCAGCAGCACGAAGACTTTCTCTATGGCTTGAGGGTGTTATAATATTATGTTGGCCCATTGACACGAAAGGTTTTAGCTCCATTCGCGCACAGATTTGACATCATTAAGCTCATAAATTGCTGTTTACAGCTGGCGCCTTTTCGAGAGCCAACAGCGGACAGCGGACAGCAGAGAGTCGAGAGTGTGAAATATGGCAGAGTAATTTGGTATTTGGGTTGCTAGCCAGCGGTCGGGTCAGCGTGGTCAGCTTGGTCAACTTGGTCAGCGGTTAGGGCCGCAATCTGTGCCCAATGCGAAAATTGTGACATCTATTTGAAATCTCTGTTATATGATTCGCCATTAAGTTTTCGATCTAAGCTACCTTGCACTCAATTATTTATATACATATACATATACTGCATATACTATATATTCATATTTTTCTACCATATCATTTTTGTCAACTCATCAAAACATGATCATCGCCAACACACTATCATGCTCATCATCATCATCGTCTAAACACATCACAAAACATTTCATTGCAACGGCTACGACATAAAAACCAAATATCAAATCGTCTCCTTCATCGAATTGTCAACATCATGCATTCAAAATTCTTGTCACGCTCACGGCTCTCACGCACGCACGCTCACACACACGCACACACAACATACATTACATAATCATGCGATGTTGTTTTTGTAATTTGTATTATTTTATTCATCAATCATTTCGAATGTTTCTCTCATTTTGGTTATGCTTCCGGTATTTTACCTTATTGAAATTTAATTAAATTTACATTTATCGTTAAAAATATCTACATATATATACATATACATATACCTTTTTTTGTTAATATGTGTGGCACAACAAAATAATTACTGTAAATATGTTTATTCCATATATGTACTTATGCATATGTCTCTCTCTGTGTGTGTGTGTGTGTCTGTGTAACGGCTGGGCTTAAAATTTTGGTTTGGTATGGAAAATCACTATCGATAAACTGCACACACGCACACGCACACGTACACGCACACACGCGCGGCAATTCACACACACTCACACAACAAAACCCTTGCACACGAACCATGGGTTCCGGGCCAGCAGATCGAGTCGCTTTGGTCACCGCCGCACCGCCGAGCTATACACGTATGTATCACTATTTTCCAGCACATTTGAGCGCGCACCCGTTCTGCTACTACCCACCCGCACCACCACCACCACCACCACCGCCCGCACCGCCCACACAGCTGGCCACACCGTTGACCCTCAAACAGCTGGGTAACTCGATTACCTCCATGACACAGGCAGCGCAATTGGCCAAAACGCTGCGCTATGCCCCAGGTAATACCAACAACGTTGCTTAGTTCTACATGTTCTTTAGCTACCAACTTTTGTTTATGTATTTTCATAGATTATTTACGATCAACTTTTGTTCTGTAACAATATAAATGAAATACTCTTGTAGACAACAAAATATAGTAGTACTGGCAATAATAGAGATCGAATATCTTTTGTAGTTCATGTACAATTTTCTATTGTATTGAAGTATTACTAATAATAGTAAGCCGCTTACTAAACAAGCAGACCTCTTTATACATATGTACATACATATGTGTGTATATAAATTTTGACTCTTTTTAGCAAACTGATTCAAGTAGCGTCACTCCTGCCCGCCGCACCTACATTTGTCTACTAATCCATAATAATCAATAGCAACTAATATGTATATTGAGATTTTGATTCTGGTTTCTTTCAACATAAATTGATGATTTCGTATAGCTCCTCCAACTAGACAAAATACGGTAAAGCAGAAAAGTCTTATCTTAAACTGCTGTTTAGCTGCATACCATCGCGCCCTGGGCTGCGCTGTGAAGCTCATTATAAATGTATTTCGAGTGTGGCAGCATTTTATATTAATTACAATATAATTATCTGAGCCTCAAACTTGTAACAACCAGAAAAGCGAGTCAGCTACTTGTATACATATAACATTCAGAGCTGTCTTACTGTCAGCTCTGTCAACTCTCTGCTTGCTGCCGAGCAAAACATATGAAAAGACCTTATAGATCCCGTATTAGTTACGATCTCTATTTTTATAGGCTTAGAATTGATAAATTAAACATCTTTCAACTTGAATTGAGACAGAGATTCAATTTGTGCCATAGATGACTGAAAGCCATTACAACTTCTGAGTTGATCAATCTCGACTAACTTATACCTAACTACTATCAATATGATATACGAATACCCAAAATATGATTTATATACTGCAGACTCCAAACAAAATTACTATATTTTAAGTTCAGCTAACAGATGATATCAGATTCACTTGTGGTACTAATAACTATTTAATATATAATAACTAATACATTATGACATACAATGTACATAATAATGTTCAATAAATTTTTATATATTATACGTTATCTTAATCCACATTTCTCTTTTTTCCTCCTTCACTTTCTCTCTTTCTCTCCGCATCGGCAGGCATGTTTATACGACCCGACGAAACGAATCTCTATACGACGCTGGAACCGACTTTGAGCAGCAATCCGAATGTTTATTTTCAGCGCAGTGGCGCTGTCCATCCGGGAATATTGTACTGACTGGAGGAGCAGAGGAGGATGAAGGAGGAGAATCACTGGAGCTATCGAGAGCACTGGAACTGAGTATTTTTTCTTAATATTAAGCTGCAGCACATAGCGCTCCCCACACACACACACACACACAAACACACACACACATACGCATACACACACATACACACGACCCTAATACGGCTCCCAAGGAGCAGCAATAAGTGAATAAATGAAATAATTAGTTTAATACATATGTCATAACTGCTAAGCGTTTAGTATAAGCAATGGAACACGATCTATGAAAATATAACTATGTATGCTTAGAGTCGATATATGATGAGATATATATATTAGCCCAACTAAGTACTACACACACTTAAAACAATGAGATTTTGGTAAATTTGTAGTCTAAGATTAAGCGACGATACGAACTCGAAACGGATTTGCAACTATATATATAGAATCACCTATATATATTATAATATCAAAGACAATTTTCACCATTTATACAGGCCATATTTATATGTATTTACGTTGATCTAATCATATTGACTAAAGCGATTCTCACTTAGTCTGCAATAATGGTGAAAACTTGGCGTATTGTAGATATCGTTTGCACCACAGAATATTTTTGCTCTTCCCTAATTCAATTTTACACAAATAAAGTAAATTAAAATAATAATTAATTTAAATCGAATTTTATATATATTTTCATTTGAATACTCAAACGATATCTTGAAATAAAATTTAGATTTAAGCAAGAATTCAAACAAGTTTAACTGATCTTAAAGACGCTCGATAGAGGCACAAATATCGAACTCTTGAGTTGGTATAAGAGTGTAAGGCGATGGATAGATATTCTGACACAATTATTTGAGAGATTTATGCCTCTATAAGCAATTAGACCCCAAATAATGGGCAACATCAGGCGAAACATTTGTTTAGCCAAGTAAACGATCGTTTAAGCCAACACGAAAATGTTATGTACATAATGCCCGCAGGCACACACACACACACGCACACACACACAGACATACACGCTGAGCAAATACTCTCAATAAAAGCCGATAAATTAAAAAAACAACATAATAGCAACAAGTGTAGAGGAAGAAGAAGAAGGAGACAACACTCACTCACACACACACACACACACACACACACACTCAATTACGAGCTGTTGTGGCATACAACAATTACAATTACAATTAAGTATAATTGCAAATTATTGGCATTGCAGCGCCTATTAACGCCTTCAGGTGGCCAGGGGATGTAAGTTGGTATCGACTATGTATTTATTTGTATGTATGGGGTGTATATTATTGGATGCCTATGCGGCATGTTTCACATAATTTCTTAACGCTTGCGATTGGGTGCCAGTTGGTAAACGTTAATGTTAAGCTATTATCGCCAGGCTCTAAGTGTAAGTGCCTTATAGCAATTCCATTACACGACCAACGCCTATCACTTGACCTTATATGGCAGCACACACACTCACACACACACACACGAATGCCGAGGGCGTGTTTGATGCGGCATGGAGTGAACCTCTGGCTTGCAGCCTCGCATTAATTAAGTGCAACAATGCAATGCAGCATCAACAGCAGCAGCAGCAGCAAGCAGCAGGAGGAAAAACAACAGCTGGAGAGAGATCCCATTGCTGCCTCAAGATGGACGCACAGACGTACGTCCTCGAATAGTTACTAGAGCCGCATCCACAACACGTCGTTCGTATTAATGACATTTCTCACGAACATTTCGCCAGAGCTACCGACAACACGGCCAAGACAGACAGACAGACAGAGCGACTGACCGACAGAGCAGTGGAGCGGCAGAGCGGCAGAGCGACAGAGTGTCATGTGTCCAGTGTGTCCAGTCTCCAAGGCATGTCAGTGTCTACAGTCCCCCACAGTCTCTCGCTCTCTCGATCTCCGCCTGGCACTGGCCTCGCTTCAATTAGGCGCGCCTTCAAATCACAAGTCAATCAAAGTTGTTAGATTTGCCGTCCTTTTTGCCTAGCTCCAACTGCGACTGCCGCCTCAGAGCCAGAGAGAGAGAGGTCTCAGGGTTCTGCTCCTAGGTCTGATATATTCCAGTCGCTGGCTGGCTGCCTGGCTGCCTGGCTGGCCGGCTGTGACATCTGTGACATGGCACTGCGGCGGCATCAATTACAACATCTATGACAGCACAGCGTGAAATGTTTGTACATGTCTCGGCGGCGCTTCCGATGGGACCAATTAGCCCTAAGTAGGCATTTCAATGGACTCTGCAATTAGCCAAAATCGAAGCCAACAATTTCATTTCATCATGCCCTTCATCATTATCAGCAATGCTCATCTCCCAGCCAGCCAGCCAGCCAGCCCGCCATCCACCCATTCGTTCAGCGATATGCAGCCCCAATTCGATCTGATCCCATCGATGCATTTCTTTCACCTAGGGCGTGCCAAGACTCACGTGCAAATGGCATTTGGTAACGCTTTATGGCCTAATGGAGCAACACGACTCGCCTCAGCTGCTGTTACAGATCCCAGACTCTCAGCAGCTCAGTCCATCAGAGATGCGCAGTTGCTGCTGCGATTAAACTTAAAGCTAAGACTTTCTTTTTTCATAAAATATTATATTTGAATGAAGGGGTATGTATATCTGGATAATTCAGGAGATTTTTTCTCTGTCATCCTATTTAGTGTCTAATCTAATCTAATAGCTAATAATCGTATGAGGTTTGCGACATTATTCTTAGGAATTACTCGGTTCAGATATCGAATGAGTAAATTTATGAATTTATAATCAAATGAAAAAACAAAATTGTTACCCTGATTTTTCAATGTGAATATATAAAAATAGAAATGGTCTTTGGAATAATTTCCACAGTTTCATTATTTAGTTTAAGAGTTTCTGATCTAGCAAACCCTATTTAAATTATTATTAAGTTATATTCTGATCTCTTTACTTATATCTCTTATTTTGTAGTCTATATTATATGTGCCTTCTTTTGAGTGTTTGTAATGCTTTTGGAATGTCATTTCAGCTATATTTACGTCGTACGTCAATAATTTTAGTATTTATTTACAGATTTTCCCACACTGAAAAAATTACTAAGAATTTAGAATCTGAGCAGCTGCAGTATATGACCAATATTGTAGACCCATAAAATTCTCTCTTTTTCCTGTAGTTTACATAAACTTTCAAAATATTTCAAGCAGCTGAACCTGAGGCGCTGTAGCTTCATCCAAGTCCAGTTGCCAGGTCAAATCTATTTATTAGAAAAGCTTTAGTTTCTGTTGCCTTGAGTAGTTGGAGCTCAACGCACACACACACACATTATTATTAGTGGGGGGAACGGTGTCAAGTGGGAGCCCCTGCAATGGCAGCACTTGAAAGGCAATAACAACTCTCGTAAAATACGCTTTTAAGCATTCGAAGGTATTCGCCTACGGTTCTTCCTCAGCAATATTTTTTTATTATCGATGTGGCCCGACAGACGGATTTTGGGTAGTTGAATGATCTTTGAACACCTTAAACTTGACTGCGCCTGCTTTATTACCTGTTGGCTCCTTGTTATTTCGCACGTGTTTCCATTGTTTGCTGTAATGCATAATGTTTGCATCAGTTAAAGTCACTTTATGATGCAGTATCTAATGCCAGATTTTCACACAAGACGCCGCTCATCTCCGACTCGAGCTCCAACTTCAACTTCGACTCAATGCCAGACGCCAAAGCCGCCCGAGGAATTGTGGTCTGCGATGCTGTCTGGGCTTTTCGTCTTGGTTTTTCTTTTTTTCTTTACCTATTTTATTTATTTATTTTCTTACTGGGTTTTCTTTTATTTTTGGGCACCTTTATAATAATTTGCCGTTTGCTGTTGCGGGCACGTTGCCAAATGAAATTACTTAGCCCAGCCGTGGCATTAGCCGTAATATTATCCTTGAATGAATGGAGCGCACTCAGGTTCCTATTACTACTATTATTGCGGTGCAAATGTTATGGCCGTGTTATATATAAGTCGCGCCGAATGCCCATAACACGGTTATGGGCCCCAAGGGCAGCGTCACGTTGCTGATTTGATGGGCTGGGTGAGACCGATGCAGATGCAGATGGAGATGGCGATGGCGATGGAGATGGTTGAGATAGAGAGTTGAGGCTGCTGCTGCTCTGGCGATCGGCTGTTGATAAGCTGGGCAGAACTGGTAATGCGTGCATTGACCGCAGCCCTCGAGCTGAGGCTGGAGCTGGGGCTGGGGCTGGAGCACAGCTGACGTAAGTTGAAATTAAATTTGAGGTAAGGCACAGCGAGCGTATCGGACCGTTTGGCTGGGCAGAGAGTACAGTTAACCTCGTTTAAGTGCGCCACGCACATGGCCAACAGGGACAGGGAGGGGGGAAGCGGGTGCAGTGGGGGGAGCAGGGCGTGCCAGTGTAAGTCCAATTAACAGTACCCAGCGACGTCGCTCTAACTATGTGTCGTGCCTGTCGCATCCCATCCTGAAGGAAGTCACAGTTGACTTGGACGGCATTTGTCGCATGCTCCTGCTTATAGCATAACTGGTTCTGGCGACCGACAGACCGACCAAGAGCAGCCAGTCAGCCAGTCAGCCATCCAGCTAGCCAACTAACCAGCCACTCAACTAACCCAAGCAACACCTAAGCTTAGAACCGGCAAGCCGGCATATACAAGTTTATAGCGGATGCGTAAACGCATTTGGCTCAAATGCCGTTAGGGCCTTTGACTAAATTGCATGGCCATGGACAGGGCAGCGTCGCCTTCGGCAGGGGCTCATACGATGACGACGACGACGACGGCGACTGCAGCAGCGGCATTTGCATGCACAACCAGAGCCAGAGTCAGAGCCAGAGACATGCGGCGGGATGGCGCATTTCAAGTAACGAGATTTGCCATTGAGTTGGCAACTTGAGCAATGTTAATGCATTACGAGCAAGCGCAAACAACCGCCCAGATCGCCAGCCCCATTTGACGTAATCAACACAATGGCCCAAAATGTTTGGGTCATTGAATTCTTGGCTCGCAGTATCTTTGCATCTTAACGGTATTCTTTTAGTGGCGCGAGATCAATGTACCCGCCTCTGCTCCACCAGCGCTAACACCAGCACCACCACTGCCACCACGGTGGTTGAGCGAACGCTGGAGTATCATTCAGCTGCTCTCATGCCCTTTTATGTACGAGGCCCATTGATTAAATAATCCCAGCAAAGTGACGAGAATGAATGTGCTGGCAATGCTGTTAGCTGAGACTTGAATACACTCACTACGTGGCGGGCATTAAACAAATGCAAATAATGGGGCTAACAGACACACACACACTGACAGGCAGGTCGGAAGTTTCTGTATGCTGCCTGATGAGGCAGATCCAAGAATACTTCAAATGCAAATAATGCAGTAGGAATCTTAAATCAATAATGACCATTAATGAGCTTGATATTATATACTTACATATATACAATATAATCTTCTTTTTAAGCCCTTTATAAAATATATCTATTGAAATATTTAGAGATTAAATTTATGCAGCTCTATTACATATAGGCAAATATTTTTTTATTTTTTATGAGCGGTCACAGAATACAAAGATCAAAGGATAGATATTTAAAGTCAAGATATTGACACATACATATTTCAATATATATTAAATCTAAAATTCTATTCTCTAATAATAAAGATTAATATTAATAAAAACAATGAAAGATATTATTTTAATGCATAATTTATTTGTTAGCTTTAGGGCTAATAACTATTTAAATATATATATATAATAATATTCAAGGCAGAAATAAATAAAGGATATTTAATTTTTATGTTTTCATATTTGTCAAAATATATTTTGTTTGTTTATTTTAATACGTTTGAAAGCAGCGGATGCTCAGCTTTGAAGATAGAAATCAGCAAATAGTTAATGTTATTTATAAAAAAAATATCAATTTATAATTTATTTTAGAATATTTGAAAGCATTATCAAAGATAGAAATAAATAAATACGAAGTATATAGTTATATTATAATAAATATAATTATGAAATTAATCTCAGAAATATTTTTTAATTCATTTTATTTAATATATTTGAAATCATTATCAAAGATAGACATAAATAAATAAAATAAATATTTATATAAACACAGTATAGCGAATCAGCAAATACATTTAGTAAACATAATTAAATAATAACCATTAAAACCTATTTCCCTAGTTTCATATAATATATCTGAAAGCATCGTCAAAGCTAAACTGAGATGCCTGATGCTCCGCATTCAAGTTAGGGCATTACGCAATAGTAAACGATGTTAGAGAATACGTAATTATTTTTTATGATCTCCAGTGAAATGGCTACCGACTCATCCATCTCTCATCTCTCACATCTCTACTCAACACTCGTAACTTATCTCCATGCCATTAATTTTGGATGCCCCTCGTGTAGTTGAACTCCAAATGCTTCGAGTCGAATGCGTTCTATTGAATTGGGCCAAATTGTTTCAGCAGCGCTAAGAAGACTGAAATTTGTTTGTTTGCTTTGTATGAGTGTGTGTGTGTTTTTTTTTATAGCCTGAAGCGAGGAAATGCAAGTTCATCAAGTTGTTGCTTGATTGAGTTGTTGAGAGAAATGCGGGAAGAGAGACAGAGAGAGAGTGGGAGGTGAGACCTTTCAGAAACTGTTTAATTGTAATTAATGTCTGCAGAGGAAAGTGTTGGCTTATAATCCGTAATTATTTACTAATGGATAGAATATTAAGGGCCATGGATGAAGGGCACTCTGATAGGCTCAATGATATTGCAATTAAATGGCTGCGCCTGAAACGTCACTGAATCGTTTGTTCTATTTAAAGCTTCAATCACGACATTCTGTGGCATCTGGTTTTCCAAATCATCTTTTTTAGAGATGTTCTATTCAGGTTTGCCAGTTGCCGCCTGCCGGGCTGCCAACCATTGTATGCAAAAGGCTCAAAACGTGCGCTAAATATAAAATTTAATATTGCAACCATACCCATGCTATATGTGTAATGCTCTCCCTCTCTCTCTCTCTCGCGCACTCTCGCTCGCTCACTTAGTGGAGTTTAAGCCAAATGAAGATGATCGCAGCTGCTGTCGGTGATCTGGCCTGATCTGTTCTGCTCCCTTCCTGTGGTCTAATGGGCGCGTTTAGCTAAAAGCTCAAAAGTTCAAGTGCCTCTCGGTTTGGGGTTATTTGCAGATCTTTTTACGACTATTTTGTATCTTAAAGATACAAGTTTATTTATGGCCAGCGCCAAGTTCACGATCCTTCGAGCCGTAAAGTGCAAAAAGTGCATAAAATGCAACGAATGACATTGCAACACCCGGCACAAGAAGCCGCATCAGCGTCACAAACCGAATCACAGAATCTGCCACTAAAGATGCAGTTTACACACACACTCACACTGTGTATGTGTGTGTGTGTGTGTGTGTGTGGGTAAGTTGAATTTAATGTAGTTTGCCTGCTAAATGCAAACGCACAGCAGCCACAGCCACCGTCACAGCCACCGCCAATGCACTGAGCCAGCGTGGCCACCGTCGCAGCTGAATGCTAAAAGGGTTTTGGCTTGGATTCGTTTATTTTATTTATTTAGTTTTTTCTTCTTCTGTTCCTTTTTTTTGCTTTTTGATGCGCCTCATTAGGAGTGGCTGGAAACCAGTTTGCAGGGGCACAGATCCCAGACAATTGACAATTTAAACGAATTTCTTTCAAACACAGCTCTGACATGGCCCAGGCACATATGACGAATAGTCGGTGCAGTCGCTGCCAGCCCGCCGCCTGGGGCCGAAGTTTACGCATGAAAAATGCAGCTCAGGCCATTTGGCCACCAGAGCGAAGGAGACGCTAACTGCGCTGAGGTGGCAGGATGCGGCAGAAGGTGGCGAGCAGGAGGCGAACAGCCAACAGCCAGCAGCCAGAACAGGCAACCGCCTGTATGAAGTGTCATTCATCTGCCCATAAACGCATTATTCAATATATACTTGTGCTAGCTTGGGGTAGAAGCTACATCAGAGCATCAGCATCAGCATCAGCCTAGGCCACAAGAGATGGAGGACTGCCGCAGCTAGACAGACGACGACGACTGATCGGCAGACGAACAACGACGACGATGTCTGACTAAATGCCTCATACTGCGCTGGGGTCTTGTGGGGCTGTTGCTGCCGTTCCTATCTGTCTCTCTGTCTGTCTGTCTGTGTGTCAGTTAGTCTGTCCGTTTGTTCGTTTGTCTGCATAGTTTCAAGGTTAACAAGTTGCATTTGCAATTTGGAACTGCAGCCAGACGACCGACGACCCTTCGACTGCTGGCCGCATCAATCGCTTTGGTGAGAATTAAATGTTTATGGCCTCCGTGTTTGCCCAGAGCCAATTTAATGAGCGAACCGATCCCACAACCACAACCACAACGTGGACATGTACAGCAAAAAGCACTCTCCGTCGGGGCAATTGATACGTTTGATTGCAGACATCTTAGTGCTAAAATGTTGCTCAAATTAAAGCCTAAACACTCCCAAACAATGTTGTGTCAGTTAACGACTAAGGACACGACTGAAATTGAGCCATGTACGGATTCCTGCCAGCTATTCACTACTCTAAGCATCTCATTAAAGCAGTCCTTGTCCTCGGGTGATCAAGTAGATTTAACAAAAGTCGATGCTTTGAAGGATTTCGTTGGCTCTATTTATACTATGAACACATGAATGTATGTATTAGATTTCTATAGTTTTTCATGAATGTTAGTAATGTCTTAAGGCTGATAGGCTAGGCGACAATCGGGGTGTCAGAGAAGTGCGAGTGCCCGCTGTGGCCAAGGGACAGTAACGAGCGGCCGGCAATAATGCGACGCTGATCTATTATTCACCAGATTGTAAAAATGTAAAAATCACGCTTTCGTGTTGTGTATAAATTGAATGCAATTTATAAATGTCCGGGCATTGAATTAAATCCCAGGCCGCCACATGGCCACGATGTTCGGCCGGGCGTCTCTCAGCAGTTGGTGATTTTTCAAAATAAACAACCTTGAGCTGCAGCAGAGAACAATTGCCAGCGCAGCGGCAGGAGCAGCAGCAGGCACAATAGACAACAACAGCAACGGCCGAAACCTACAGCAACAACTACAACAGGCAGCGCAGCAGAAATGCATCCGCGGTTCCCCTTAAAGGCACTGCGAACGATGAAAAATTGCGCCAATTGAATTTGGCCAACGATTGTGCCCTGCCTGAAAGACGGAAGGGCGACGTTTGGGTGCAAATCTACTGGGCGGTCGCTTACTTTTCAACGCATTTATCAATACCCAAGTGGCCACGTACCTTGGCCAGAACCTTAGCCCCAACCTCTACCCATGGCAATGCCAATGCCAATGCCAATAGCCAAGACCCAGGCGTTGACAATACCAAGTTCTCATATATAAAACGATGCCGCCGCATAAAATGTGAGCAAGCGAAATGTGAATAATCGACTGAGCCAGACTCAAACATATGCTGTGCTTCTCTTCTCCTCTAATAGATAGCCAAAGCTAAGAAATACTTATATCAAAATAGTAGAAAGTTATTTATTAGTATAAATATATTGGGCATTATCAAACATGTTTACAAAAATCCAATTAATTTCTCAGAAATTTGTATTGCTAAAATATTTGAAATGTTTTTCATAAGTTCAGGGGTTTAAATTACATCCATTTAAATAAAAATCTAATAGAATAAATTATTATTGTAAATATTTGTAAAGTGCTACTTATGTTAAATAAAACAAATGTTTATCTTCTGTTGAATGTATATGTGTATATAATTTAATATATTTGCATAATGTAATATAATAAATATGAAATGTATAAAAAGATATACATATATGTGTATATAATTCGTAATATATTCGATATATTTCAAGAAAATGATTCGATTAACAAACAGAAATAGAAGTGGAAATGAATGCCTATAGAAAATACATATTCGATTTTATGTAGACACTTAAGCTGTGGGACTAGTTAGCCTTGTTAGCAATAAGGTGGGCTATTCAATAAATGTTTAATGAATTGTTTGAAATAATTGCACATTTGAAATGAGATGATTAACAAAAATAAATAGTTGCTTTTGCAAAGACAATAACACACACAAAAAAAAAAAAGAAAAAATTCCAAGAACACAAAACAAGTACATTAGATAATGCAACAAAAAATTGAAGCTAATTTAACATCTATTAATTATGCTAAGTGACTAAGTTTAATGGATATGGCTGATGGTTTATGACTCAGGCCTTCTCGGCAACAGCGCGCAGCTCTTCCATAAGGGAGGGCATGCTCGCTGGCCGAACCTTGCTTGACTCCAGACCGGCCAACAGCTTATTGAGATTTAGCATATCCTCACGGCAAGCGGCCAAGCCGTTGCTCAGTTGGCACAAATTTGGCTGACTATGTTGACTTCTTTCAATTAGATCTAATATATAACTATTGCGTGGGCGGCCCGTCTCCTGTGCAGTTTGCTGAATGAGCTGCAAATAAAATATAGTTAATATGAGTTATTCAGTTGGAATGCCCATATGCAGTGCTCACCTTCTTATAGTCATCAATCAGATTGGGCACCTCATGGGCCGGCTCCAATGGCGTGGAGTCTGCTGAGGACTTGCCCAAATCTGCTGATTCGACACGAGCCCTTTCTGCGGCCAGACTTTGCTCTAGAAACTAAAGAAATAAATATTGTGAACAAAGATTGTCATTTTCTGCTGTTCGTAACCATCTACAAACCTTGATTCTGCTCAGAGCTTCTTCGTATTTGCCTCCTATTTTAGCTAGCTTCACTTTAAGCAAGGGCAGCTCCGCTGCAGCTTTTGCACCGCGCAGCTCCTGTCGCAGCAACTTGGTCAGCTGGGGCCAGCTTTTGACATGCGGTAACTTGCGACCCGTTTCCGCTTCCAGTAACTGCAGGAGGATGCTGTGCTGTTTCCTGGGAGCACACTGTCGCTCCTTCAGCAGCGCCTGGACTTGTGCCTGCAATTCCTTCAGGTTAGCCGCATCGGCAGCTTGTGCTTGCCTGAGCCTTTGCAGCTCGTTGCTGTTTTGGCTCTCATGGGCTCTACTCAACAGCTGCAATTGCTGCAGCTGTTCGTTTTGTTGAGAGAATAGCTCGTTGAGCTGCTGCAACTCGTCGGATTTCTGCTGCAGCTGCAGTTCCATTTGCTGCTCCATTTGCTGCGTGGCTTGCAGTGCTTCTAGCAGCTGCATCCAATCGGCCTCCATTTCATTGGTATGCCTTATCTTATCATTCTGTTGTTGCAGCAGTTGCTGCAGCAGCGCAACTGTTTGTTGCTTCTGCTTGCTGACGCTTATCAGCTGCTGCTCCAGAGACTCAATGCGCTGCTCCAGCACAGGCTCAACGGGCACCGTTTGGGTGCCAGCACTTGTGAGCTGCTTGGTCTGCGTCTGATTCAGCTTCTCTTCCATTCGGGCCTTCGCCTCATTTAACTGGTTGCATTGCTCCACATTGAGTTGAAGCTGTTCCAGAAGCTCATTAAGTTTCTCTTGCTTCTCATTATTTTGTGACTGCTGCTCTACGAGTTGGCATTTTGTTTGCTCACATTTGGCTGTCGTCTCGGCGTATTGTTTGTGAAGTTCCGCAAGCTGCTGCTCCACTATTTGCAGGGCTTGCTGTGACTCTTTCAGCTGCCTAGCGATAACTGCCTTCTCCGTTTTTAAATCCTTCAGTTGAGCATCTTTAAGTGACTGCTCGAGTTGCTGTGCCTCAAGCTGAAAATTCAACTGCTCCAGCTGCCGCTGCTGCTCCTCATTCTGAGCCTCTAGTTTCGACATGAGCAGCAACTCCGACTGCAGCTCAAGTAGCGCGTGCTTTAGGGTCGCTATTTCACTCGTCTTGGCAATGATCGCGCCATGGAATGCCATGCTATAGTTGTGCATGGCGTCAATGGTGCACTCGCTGCTTAGTTTTTGCTCGTAGTGCTGTTTCATGTCCAAGAACTCCCGCTCTTTCAGCGCAAGCAGCTTTTCCTGCGTTTGCAGCGTTTCATTGAGCTCCGCGATCACCTGTCGCAGCTGTTCTCGCTCTTCTGTCACATGCCGAAGCGTAGTCGACTTCAGCTCCAGCTTATGAGCCAGTTCGCGGTGCTCGTCAATCAGCTGCTTGCATTGACGCGTCATGTGTTTGTTTTCCAATTCGACACCTGCAAGCTGGCGCTGTAGTTCTAGTTGCTTGCTATCGTGCTCGAGACTCAGACGCTCCATATCGGCGAGCAGTTGTTTCTTCTGCTTACGCAGCACTTCCGTGAGCTGTCGCTGGTCCATTAGCTTTGCCTGCTGCTGCTGTGCCTCAAAGGATTCGAATAAACTTTCGCTTGTGGCTTGCAGTGCTGTACCTGATGACACGGGCACTGTTGTAGCAGCTGCAGCCATTCCACATTTTTCCAGCGCGGCGCATTTCGCTTGGAGGCGCTGGGATTCCTGTTGTAGTCTCTGATTCTCTAGCATATACTTTCGCTCCTGTACATAGAGACGCTCTAACGTTTCGAGACGGCTATGCTTTTGTGACTGTAATTCCTGCTTGTACCACCGTTCTGACTTGCTGAGACGTTCCACTTCACTGCGCGACTTGCGCAGCTCTTGTGACACCATAAAAAGTGAGTCCCCTGATTCATGAGGTGGCTCTTCCTCTTTTACATGTTCCTGAGGCAGTTGCCAATTTCTGGAATGATTTGCTGTATCATCTGCATCACTACTGCAGCTGAAAAGGCCAGAGTCATCTGCCTGCGCTACGCCCCCAGAATTCTCAGAATCCATTGCGTTGGCCGAGACCTAAAAACCAAAATAGTCAAGGTCGTTTAATTAAAGGTCACTAGTGCTTACCAGCTGCTCGCACACGTTGCCAAAATTATTTAAATAATGGCCTATTAATAATAGTTAACGCACAGGTGGAAAGTATACATTTTGCACGTTGTAAACAAAATTTACAAATTTTAATAAGTTATTTTGCCAGCGGCGCAGCTGTTGATGGCGAAGCAGTGTGACCGTTTCTGTTTAATAGCAGAATGCTTAAATAAAATAAATACCAGCACTACAAGTGGTTGCAGATTTGTGTCATTGTTTGTGGTCAGCGTTTATGTGGACACTGACTGGCTAGCTGTGTGTATAATATATTTTATTTATATATTTCACCTTACTTGATAATTTAATTTTATATATTAATTGTTTTCACTATAACTACAAAACCTGCAATAATAATTTAATAAATCTTTAATATATTACACTTTGCGGAATATCTAATTGCACTACCACAATTTTGCTAATTAGTGTATGTTTTCTCATATTGGATTCTTGCTAATTTTGTACATCTACGGTCACACTGACCGCAAAGCCATCACAAATATAAACTTATTAAAAATTTGCCAATTTGCAAAGCATAACAAACAACTGGCAATTCGCGTCCGTGAATAGATTCAAAAGTATTTAAAATGTGCTCATAGAATACATTAGGCTGCTGGGCAAAATGCAATTAATATGTGTAAATAGAGTCTAATTGGAGTAGCTTCAATTGCGTGTTACAAAACTCGCAAGTGGAAAGCAAAACCACAACAAAAACAAAAACAAGGTCCTGGAAGAAGAAGCATGTCGAGCTCCAGCGAGGCAGCCAACAGCAATGCCGAGGCATTTTCCATCTACTACAAAGGCAAGGCGCTGCAGCTGAAATGGAAGGGCGTGCCACCGCTCACCCGCTCGCCTGCATTAAGACTCTGCAACATGGGGAGCAGCAAGAGCGAAATTGGACGCGAGGCCGGATCACAGGCTGGAGTCAAATTCGATTCTGATTGGCTGCTGCTGCTGACAGCTGATCATTCGCTTTATTCGGCCACGCTGCTGCCGACGCACGATGTGCACACGTTGGAGCTGAGCTTGCTGCGAACGGATGTTGTTGACGTGGATTACTGTCGCGGGAGCCGACAGCTCTTTGTGGTGCTCGCCAATGGCAGCGTCCAGCGGCAGCTCGTTGCTGGCAGCTGTCGCCCGGGCGCATGGCAAACGCTCAGCTTTGATCCCCTAGAGCTGCACGACGAAGGCGTATGCATGCGTCGCGTGTGCTGCTCGGAGCAGGGCGTGGTCTTTGTCAGCGTCCGCGGAGCAACATATGTGCTGGGCAGTTGTGGAGAGGTATTTAACGCCGAGGAACCTCGCCACATGCGCCTCTGCGAGGAGGGTAAGCAACTGCTGGACCTCGTCGCTGGAGATGAGCACTTCGTGATGCTCCTGGCGCCACATCAGCAAGCTGACGACGTGCTGCAGCTGCAGCAGGAGCAGCCACAACAGGAGCAAGGCTCCCTCAAATCGATACACAGCGGCAGCTCGGAGCGCAGCTTCGCAGCGAACACCCGCCATCTGCTCCATCAAGGCTATGCGCTGCTCCACACTCAGCTGTTTACATTTGGCGCGTCGAACGGCGGGCTGCTGGGCACAGGGGATCACATCCGACGTGCCCATGTCGCTCGCCTCGAGAAGCTCGATGGCATGGGCGTCTGCAGCATTGCCGCCGGCAGACAGCACAGCGTGGCGCGGACTCTGGACGGACGCCTCTATCACTGGGGCATCAACAATCGCGAACAGCTTGGCGACGATCTGAGTTCTCCCAAGGAAATTTGCCTGGCGGAGCAACTGACGCCCAAGCAGCACACAGCGCTGGAGGCCACCTGTGGCGACTATCGCACGCTAGTGCTGGATGCAGCTGGGCAGATCCAAACGCTGCCCCAATCCCAGTCCAGTACCTACACGCAGACGGTGCTGCATTTGCAGATGGGCGCAGCCTGGCCACGTCAGCTGCGCCTCTTGCACTGTGCCGGCGGATACACTCTCCAGAATTGCCGCCAGTTCCAGTGGCAGTACCACTACTTTCTCAGTCACCTGGAGTCGCAGCTGCAGCTGCTCCTCAAACAGCGTCAGGCTGTGCAAACGCTGATGATCTGGGAGTTTCCCGTCTTGGCGCCCCTCTTGCTCAACTGGGAGCGCATCGTGTGCCTCTTGGCAGCCACGTTGCACTCCCTCGAAGGCTTCTATCGCGCGGACTTCGTGCAGCCGGCAGATCTGCTCTTTATTTGCTATCATCGCGAGTATATCGAGCTCTTCGAGAGCTACACCAGTGCCTATTGCGATGTGCTCTCCGTGAACGGCTTTGGCGAGGCGGTGGCCGCCATTTGCTTGCCTCCATTGAGCAACCACAATCCACTGGCAGAGCTGGGCGAGGAGAGCTACCTAACGCGCCTGTTTCAGCAGCCGTTCGGCATCTATCAGCTGTTCAATCAGTTCATGGAGGTGCTCGTGAAGACCCAGCCCGAGTACGATGAGCATCGGTTGGCCTGGTTGGAGTTTGCGCGCAAGAGCTGCATCAGTCAAGAGCTGGCCGACAATACCAAAGAGTTCTGGAGCAGCAAGGAGTGCACGCCACGCATCTCGCATCTGAGGCAGCGTCAGCGACGCGTCATACTCACCTCTACGCTGGTGCCGCTGAAGCTGGCCAACGCTCGCATCAGCATATCCAGCCACAGCTTTATACTCTTCTCTGACTTCCTCTGCCAGCTGGGCAGCAATGCGCTCTACACCTATCCACTGAGCGCGCTGTGGGTCTGGTCGGAGGGCGAGCTCGACCTGCGCATTGTGACGCCCGAGAAGAGTTTTCTTTTAACCACCAAAAAGACGGAGTCGCGCAAGATCTGGCTCGACCAGCTGCAGGCGAGCATTGTGGCCGCCTTGGGGCGACCTTTGGGCAGCCCCGTGCCCAGCGTGCGCTCCACCGCCTACGAGTATAGTCGCGAGCATCCAAAGTTCTCCCGAGTCAAGGCCTGTGGCACCTGGCGCAAAGGCGTGCTCCATGGCAACTGCTATCTGGAGTATCCCGATGGCAGTGTCTACTGCGGCGAGGTTCACCGTGGCGTCATTGAAGGTGCGTCCTCTCCTCGCATATTTAAACTTTTCTACAGACTCTGTATTCCATATTTATAGGCTATGGTAAAATGGTGATTCCCTCGACCGGGGTTTACGTGGGCAACTTCAAGGGCGGCCGATTTCATGGCTTCGGCATCTACGAGCTGAACGGCAGCGCGGCGCAGGAGAGCGAGATCTATGAGGGCAACTTTTGCGAAGGGCTCTTCCACGGCCACGGCATGATGCGCAACAATCGCTACATCTATGTGGGCGAGTACATGGCCAACACACGCAGCGGCTACGGCGTCATGGAAGATCTGATCAGTGGCGACAAATACATGGGCATGTTTGCGGACAACAAGCGCTGCGGGCCCGGTAGCTGCATCACGAATCGTGGCGACTACTTTGAGGGCACTTTTGCGGCCGACGATCTCACTGGCAGCGGCGTGGCTGTCTTCGAAAACGACTACTACTACGAGGGCGAGCTGACGCTGCAGGGACCTAACGGGCGCGGCGACTACTATATGCCCTGTGGCGATGCTGGCAATGCTGGCAATGGCTCAATGGGCGCCAGCGAGGAGGACGACGACAACTATGAGCTCATTGGCAATAAAATGTTTGGCCAGCTCAGTGGCAGCTGGGAAGCGGTGCGCATACAAACGGGTGAACTGGCACTGAATCGGCGATTCCCGAAATTCCCTAGGTAACTATGCCTAGCAGACGCTAATTCATATAATATTTGATTTTTTTGTATTTAATTGCTTTTAGCTCTCTTGGCCGCATGGTAGTGGACCACAATCGCAAATGGCGAGCCTTGTTCCAGAACTTTGAATCGGACCTGGCGAGCTGCAGTGCCTCCAGCAGCAGCAACAACGTGTTCTCCGGCATTTTGGGCGGCACCCTTAAGAAACCGGCTAAGACTGCGCTGAGCACGGCCCAGATATGGAGCTGCATAGCCATTTATATGAACAAGCAGCGCTCTCGAGACGGCCCCAAGCCGGGCAATTACTTCAACAACATTCTACTCAGTCTGCCGCTGCCACCGAAGCCAGCGGCACAGCCTTTGATGAGCAGCACGCCGACGTTGCAGTCGACGCTGGCGACTCGAAAGATGTCGACTTCGTTGGACTTGTTCGGCTCGACGCCACGTCGGATTCAGTCGCAGGAGACGCTCTGCAGCAAGCAGGACGATCTGCAGCGCTCGGATAGCCTGCTCTCCATTGGACATAACTCGACAGTAGACACCAGAAGCTTGGTTAGCTTTGGTCTGAACGAAAGCCTGCTGGAGCGCAGCTTCAATGGCGAACAGGAGCCAGGCAATCTGAGCACCAGCTTTGGCAGCGTGCTGCAGAACAATAATAACAACAACAACATATCCAAGAATATTAACAACAGCAACTGCTCGATCACCTCGACGACCTCCACGAGCAGCGCACTGCTGGAGCAGGTGCCCAGCTTTGGCATGACCTCGACACTGAGCGAGCACGATGTGAGCTGCATTCGGCTCTATCTGGAGCAAGCATTCAAGGATCAATATCATCCGCTGTACGCTTTAAACGAGCGCATCGCCAACTGTTTCCACTACTCGTACGGCTACTGGAAGGTGAAGCCCACCTCCATTCTGGCCAAGCAGGCGATGCGCGAATGGGAGTCCATATCGAGGCGTACGTACCGCTTCGTGCGTAAAATGTTTCCCGCCCTGCCGGAAGATTACTGTCACCTCGAGGGCAGCAGAGAGGTGATCTCCCACATAACACTCCTCTACCCACTGATGCTATCCGAGGGCATTTACTCAACATTGTTCGTGCTATACGCCAACAAATACAATCGCAAGGACGAGCTGTACCGGCATAACCTAAACCATGCCGAGAAGCTGAGCGATGGGGAACTGGTCCAGCTGCTCGGCCACGACAGGTTAACAAATTATACACATTGCGTTTATTTTATTTACACTTTCGATGGCGATGGGATGGCACTTAAAATTAATGGGCTTATTCGCAATCCTACGATTTGTGTTAACATAAAATATTTGCATGATCTTTTTAATATTTACCTGTTTCAAAATTGCGAGGGCGATTCGAATCTTTGCCCGAACGAGCCACCGTAGCAATTTAGAGCTACATGGACTAGATTCAAACTCTCAGCGACTTAATCACAATACTTAACAATAATTTGTCAGCTTGTTTCAGTTATCTGATTGCCCCGACATTGTGAATCTTAATGACCATATTTTAATTGCCAAAACAAGTCTATCCCGTTCCCCTCAGCCGCTCCGATTCGTATAATGTTGTTTGCCTTTGCAGTTGCCTCAATGCTGTGATGCTGGACACGCAATTCGAGGCCGCGGTACAGTCACTGAAGCAGCTGCAGGAGAAGTTCAGCCCCCAGGATATGTTGACTGTGATACAGCGCAGCATGGAGCTGCTATCGGAGGCATACGAGCACGCCATGGCCAGTGAGTACTTCAGTTTCGCTCGATAACAAAGTCAATAATCTCTAAACGTTGCAGCAAGTGCCGCACAGCTCAATGCTGACAATATGATTCCGCTCTCTATGCTGTGCATGCTGCGCGCCGCTGTGCCGCATTTGGGCGCCGAGCTGGCGTTGCTGGACGATCTGACGGGCGGGCCAAACTTTCAGGCCGAAATGAATGGAATGGCGGGCTATTGTTACACGACCCTGAAGGCCGCCTACGAGCATATCACGATGAGAGCGCTGCAGCGGAACTCCTTGCCTTGAGCTCAACTCAACTGGACGCCTGTACTAATATTGTTACAATTGTTATGGCTTTGGATGCCAACGATCAATATAATTTCTAGTTTATGCTTTGTTACATGCGCACGCACGCACACATAGCCTAGCGTGCCAACGAGATACCCATGTAAACGTTATATACCCTGTATATAGAAATTAAGTGAAACTGTCCCCATTGGTCCTCATAGATGTAGGCTTGTTATTTGTCTGTACAGTTGTCGATCTGTGTATAATGTATGTATGTGTATATTTGAATAACTCTACAGATTAGCTTACAGTTAAGGATAACACATTCCGATTAAATACATTTATCATAACAATTCAATTTAAGTTTGCACAGCTAGCGGAAACCTGGTAGCTATCACTGCTCAGTGAGTATACACAAAGATGCCCTTCTTATCTGGGCAGACATCGCATTGCGCATCCTGTGGAAATAGCGACTTGCCCAAGTGGGACACGAAATGTTTCTTATCGAAGGTATAGATCAAATACTTTTCGGGAAACGTGGTGCCCGTGGCGTAGTTGTAGACCAGTATTATCTTGTCCCCGTCCTTGATGCTCTTGCGCGAGGCGAGATAGGCCAGGGCAAAGACGGACTTGCTGTAGATGTTGCGCTGATGGCCGGTGAAGAAGCTGGTGCGAAACGGCAGCATGGTGACATTGTGGTACAGGGAGACGTAGTCCTCGGCGGAGCGCATGTGGCTGACAAACAGGATGGGCGTCTTGGGTCTGAAGTGCGCCACTTTCTGGACCATGCGCGTGGTGACGCCACAAATGACAATGGCTGCGGCGTTCGCCTCCATGGAGGCGGCAACGACAGCCCGGGCCATGCCGTCGGCACCCGTGTGCGAGCTGTCGCAGAGGGGCATCTTGGAGAGGGCCATCGGCAGGATCTGATCGAAAATGGCGCTTTGCAAGAAACTAAAGTAGAAGACTCCCTGGTACTGGTCCGACCTCACCAGATATTTGTCCGGATAGAAGAACACGTGGTAATAATGCTCGGGATCGACACGCAAGCGCTGCTGGCTAATGTGCCACGGATTGAATATGATGGGCTTCTTGGCAGCATGGGTCAGCTGCAGGATGCACTGGGCATCGGGACAGATTTGCAAAATGTCTGGGACATTCGGAGGCTCCGAGAGCTCCACCAGCAGCCCGTCGTAGTGCTGCGCCACCCAGTTCATGTCCCCATCGCAGCCTTTAATGTCGTTGATCACCACGCGGGCGTAGAGTCTGAGACCGTCGCACTGCAGCTGCGTCATGACCCTCTCCATGTCGATCACGTACTGCACGGTGCCGGCGATGTTGGATATGACCACGTTGATGCCCACCTCGCGGGAGAATGTCAAGTCCTCCACCTCCTCGTAGGAGACGCGATATCGACTGCAGCGTTGCGGGAAGAGCACCGGCATAAACGACTGAAGGGTGCCCTCTCGGCAGACGCAGCACATGAGGTGATCCTGGCGGACGGTGCGCACCATCAGCTGTATATCCTCGCCCACCAGGATGATATCAAACTTTCGAACCTCCACCAGCAGGAAGCGCGCATTCACGTAAATCACGCGGGACGTGCAAAAGAGCGAATAGTCCCGGTCGGTAGTCAGGGTGATTCTATCGCCCCGGCACAGCTTAACTCCCGCCGTGTATTCCTCGACCAAGTATCCGCTGTACTGATGGCGCGGCGACAACTTGGCAATGATGGTGGAGACGACGGGAAAGCCGTACTCCTTGGACACGGCGATCTCTGCCTCGCGCAGCCGGACAACCAGATCCTGAGTCCTACCCAGGGGTCCACGGAATAGGTCGACCATAAAACAGCGTACGCCAGTCTCTGCAACGAAGTTATGAAATAATCCCAAGGCACAGCCCTCATTCACACTCACGCAAATACATGTTCAGCTCCTCGTCGGTACTGCCGTAGCCCAGCTCGACGCACTGGTTGTTCCCATTGGGGTTGACGCCCTCCGGTACGCCGAGGATCTCAAAGTCTGTGAAGAAATTGCCCCAGCGCTCCTCGTCAAATGGCAACTGGCAACTATCCTCGCTTAGCTCCTCTTCCCCCTCGAACTCGACATCTTCACTGGTATTGGAGTCCTCCAAAATTGTCATCTTTCGGAGGCTGTGCACCGACTGCAGCCGATACATGGCGTCAATATTCAGTTCACTGCCATCACTGACCTCCAGGCCAAACAGGTTCCTGAATGCCTTGCGGCGCTGCATCGCGGACAGCAGCTCCTTGGCCTTTAGCACCTTATCCACATCGATGGTAGCTATTTTGAGCTTCTTCCAAATATTTTCGTACACTTCTATCTGGCTCCCTCTGATGGAGCCGACTGGTCTCGATACCGTGGACATCGTGCTGCAGCTTCGCCTTTCTCTTCCAATACAAAATCAAATATAAAAGTAGAGCTGAACACAAGGATTTACGAGTGTCAAATATATGTTTAAATAAAATCTATCTACATTTGAGAATGTTTTTCCTATACCTATCAAAAAGTAGGACTCAAAAAAACAATTCTATTAGATAGCCACGTTGGTAGCATTCACATATTTGAGCTGGGTCTGAAAATTGAAGTCGTATATATAGGATATATAGTTGTTATATGGAACTTGGAAATCCTAAGATTATTCGTTTTAAAGAGCATTCAGTATTATATTCCATAGTTGATTAAGATATTGGGGACTAGACCTTGTGCTTAGGGAAATATAGTTTGAGCCACCAGTCAGGCGGGTATTTAGTCATTTTCCCAGGAGAGCTAAGATTTCAGATTCCAAAGACATATTATTCCTTTGATCTTTGAAAAAGTTACATGGATGCTTCAGCTTGTACGGTATTAGGAAGTGATAATTGTTATTTATTTATTTATTTTAGATAGAGAGAAAGAGGCAGAGCGTAGACTTAACATACTTGTCAACTTAGGACCGCAAGGAACATTATATGATTATAGTAATTTTGATCAATATTAGAAGAAGTATATTAACATATAGATATAATACAAAAAGAAACAAAAAATAGAGCTTAAAGTTTATAATAAAGTATATACATAAATAAAGCTGCTGAAAATAATGAAAATGGAATCTCTTTGATTTCTTTTATTTGGAAGAAACCGCACAGGTATTTTATCTTAATTTTCTATCATTGCTTGCTTTAATTTGTTTATTTCCGTAATTTATTTGTGTGTTTTGTGAAGCGAGAATGTTAAATTTAGCAACGCGTCAAGTGAAATGTTTACAATGTGAGAGAAAGTTAAATGGGAGCTGGCAGCATGGGTAACTGAGCATTTTCCGAGTTTCCAACGCCACTTGAAGCAGCAGCAGCATCCCGCCAGCCCAGCGCCCCGTAAACATAAACAGACGGAATGTTTAGAGAATAAAACATTCATATTCCAGGCGAACAGTTCTCAGTTTTCCATTTTCAAATGATCTGTTCTTTTGGGCTGCTGCTGCTGCTGCTGCTGCTGCTGTTGTTTATTTTGAGAGACACGGGCCAGGGCTTGGGTGTGGCTAGTGCACGAGCTAGTCTAAACAACGGCAGCAGCATTTCCCTTTTGCGCTACCTAATCACACTCGAGTGCAGGCCGCTTGAACTTTGACGTGAACTGTAGCCGTCGGATGTGGGGCGATGGCTAGGTATGGGTATGGGCATGGGCATGGGGATGGGCAGGGGCCTGGGACTCCTCCCTAATAAGCTATTTTGTCCGTTTTTAGAAACAATTCCTCTGCCACAAGGCAATGGCAGCGGCAGCGGAAACTAGTGTGTGTGTGGGTGGGATATGATGTATAGAGCTGGGGGCTGGGAGGCAGGGGGCGTGTGCTGCGTACTGCTGTGAGACCATGGGCGGCCAGCTGCTGAGCATCGAACATGAATTGCCGTGCTCGTCGTGGATCGCTCGTGCACTTGAGTTCCGGGCCACTCGCTCACCAGCTCGCTCGCTCGCCTGTCCATTTGGGCCTCTCGCTCGCACCGCTCCCGAAAGTCTGCCATCCATCTCTTACAGTTCGTTTCGTTTCGTGTCGGCATTTCAATACATTTTCTCCTTCTTCTTCTTCTTCTTCTTCTTCTTCTTCATTTCGTTTTGTGAATAGAATTTTTTCAACAATTTGGCTGTCTTAGAGTTTTCGAAATTTTGGAGCGTAGTTGCAGTGTGTCGCGACGCGTCAGCGTGTACGGATCGGTGCGCTATAGTTTCCCAATCAATCCACCCACATAACAGATCAAATTAAGGAATATCTGATAATGTTGAACAACAGCAACAAAAATGGATAAAAGATCATAAAAAATTATAAGCTTTTGTGGTTGGTTCACAGCTTGAAGTGCTTCGTCAGGATAATTGGGTAGGAAGTGTTTCATCCAGCTGCCGATGTGGGCGTTGTGCCTGTTGCCAAGTTCCAAATGCACATATATATAGACATACACACACACGCTCACGCACACGCATACATTTACATATATACATACGTATGTACGTATGTACACAATTTTCGGCTTTCCAATATTTGTACTCAACTCTGCTCTGCCTTTTGGCTAAAAATATTTTCCGTTAAAAACGTTGAAAAATCCAAAACGAAAAGAGGAAAATCCACTCGTCTCAGCGCCTGGCTGCCGCCTGTTTTTCATAATTTTTCATCTTTATTTATTTTACGTATAGACGAACACAATTTGCTCTCGAGCTCTGCGTTGCTCATTCGATTTCGCATGTCGTCATTTTTGTTTATCCCCCACCCCCAGCCCGATCCCATACCCAGCATCCCCAATAATTTGCAGCCTTTGTCTTGCGGGAGGAGCACAAGGAATAGAACTGTCTTCAGATTGCCAACCTAATGAAACAAATCACAATTTAATAGGCACAGCGCGTAGTTTACAACTTCCTAGAATATCTCTCTATATATAGAGATATACTTATATATGTTATATCTGTTATAGATATATATATATATATATATATATATATATATATATATATATATATATATATATGTGCACATATGTGTGGCATGGGAAGACAGCTGTGTGCTCTTTGGCAGATGCCATGCTGCGTATGTGGGGGAAGTCCATAAAAAATAAAAGCAAAAAATAGGCAAAAAGAATGAAATAGAACTAAAAACAAAATCAAACCAGCGCACAGTTATAAAAATAAAACTATTTTTATATTTACGTATATTTGTATTTATGTATATGTGTGCGTGTGTGTGTATGTGTGTGTGTATGTGTGTGTGTGTGGCATGCGTGGAACAGTCGATGATCAGAGTATTTGGCTTTTTGGCGAAGACAGTCTCGGCAGTCTCTTGGCACAGTTTTCCAGACTCCCCTGGCCTCGAACATAAATCAATCATGGCAAATTCAATTAATACAATCCGAATACGAAATTAAAGCAATGTGGCAGCAGCAGACCCAGCAGCAGCATCTCTAGAAATATACATACTCAATTGTTAAAATAATATTTGATCTAACTGAAACGAGTTCTATATAAAGTTCTAGTCGATTTGTCTTTTTCCGCTTACTGACGTTTTATTGAACAACGGCAGGGAAGGGAAAAAGGCGTATTTACTATGAATTATTTCAACGATATAAAAATTTCAATTATAATAATAAGCGAGAGAGAAAAAAAGTGTTGAATATAAAGACAACTTGAGAGACATAGCTGGTGAGTACTTCTTCCCTGAGAACTGTGATTTTCTATCACTAAATAATTAGTTATTGAGGTCAACATCTTCAACGAGGCTTGCACTCACAATTTAATGCCTAATTTAATGAAACGTTTCATCTGATTAAGAGTCATAATTAGTCTAAAAGAGTTTAATGACATACTTAAGGCATTAATATCGAAAGGATGCTTGAGCTGATTTTGATATGCATTTGCTAAATTTATTAGGAATTAAAAAAATAATAATTATTATTATTAAATATTATGAAAAATAATTTTCGTTTAAATTGTATGTATATATTGTATATTATACATATGTACAGCCACTAGAATTCTGAAAATTCGAAATTCAAATTATCGGAAATTATTGAGAACCATTTTGAAACCTTAAACTTGAAAGTGATTTAAAATTTTTTAATGTACAATTTTTTTACGTTTAATTATAACAAATTATATATACTAAAATTTCAAGGCTTTGCATTCTGAAATAATTTGTTTAGTTTTTAATTTCATAAATTTATAGTGCCCCTGAGACTAACTAATTGAATTTTAAGGAAATTCCTATAAATGTTGAGATTGATATATATGTATTTATAAATTCTTATTGACAGACTTTTCATTAAATATTTTAATTAGTCTTAAGAATTTTTTTTCATAAACTAATTTTTTTTCATAAACCTATTAAATGAATTGAGAATTTAAATTAAATTCAATTTATTGTTAATTTTAACTTTATTAGGCATTTATTTATTTATTTTTTTAACTAATCCTAATTTCTTTTTCTTTTCTTTTTCTAAACTTACATTGTTATTCAATTACTTTAACAACATGTTTTGAGCTGTATATGTATGTTAAGTTAATTTCATATATTGTATTCGATTGCAAAAAGTTTAGGTATTAAAATAAAACACATTTCATTTATTGGCAGAGAACTTTTGCAGCCTTTATTGCGCTTAACAACAACTGAATAATTCACTAATTAATTTTATTTTATTTAATAATAAAATGCATATTTTTTTAAATTACATACATATTTATTCGATATATTCATCAATATAATGACATATGTTTTTTTTCAATATATTTCTTTTTTATTTTATTTCATTTCAAGAATTCCAATAAAAGAACTTAAGTGTTCCTTAGCCATTTCAAAGGCATACTTGCCTTCAGTAAGCCTTCAAATTTTGATTAACATATGTTTCAGAGATGTATATGTATACTTAGTATCTAAAAATAAACCAATTGAACAGCTAAAACAAAACAGTTCCAATTTATATGAATCCGTCGATTTATGTCTGTTGCCAACTGACGCGAACAACAAAAGGAACATCAAATGCTTCAGTATAAAACGAATGGCATATAAATAAACATTAAATTGTAAATTACATATTTAACAAATACACACTGAAAAGTACAGCTATTTAATATACGTGTAGGTGTATACAATATTTAAATGTATAAATATAATATATACAGGCACAGTCATGCACTTGGTAATATTTCCAGTTGCGTCGTCTTATTGAATGCCCAATGGCTGCATATACAAATATATATGTATGTGTATATAAATGTATAATCTCTGCAAATATGAATATATATGTATATGATTATGGTATGGTATGTACATAGTATATAGCGGTATACCACCCCCAATCAAGGCACTGCTCGATATTTCTGTAGCGTTTCTAATGAAACGAAATTAAATGTATAATTTATTGTTGCATAAACAAAAGGCACGAAACCGAATCGAAAATCGAACGAAACGCAACCGAAGCGCATGTGGCACCTTTAAGTATTTCGACTTGTCCGTGCCCCAGCCCAGCCCTCGCCTGGGTCCGATCCGGCTGGGTCTATGTGGAGCGCATTGTGTTCTGCAGGGGCTGGAAAATTTCGTGCTCCCGCACGAAACGATCCAAAAATAACAATTTCGAAACGGTCGAGCGGTGAGTGTGGGGGGGAGCACAGATTTGTTTATAGTTTTTTTTTTTCTTTTTTCATTTTCATTTTCCTTTTTTTCTCGTATAAACAATTGCAATTGAGAAATGAGAAAATCGCCGTTCGAGAAAAATCGAAAATAGTTTTTAGCTGAAAGATGACCACGATCGATGCGAAATTCATTCGATTCCTGGTTGTAAAAAAGAAATAAGAAGAAAACGAGAAGAAAAGAATTAAGAGTCAAATGAAGAGATGAGAGGCAACAATGCATGCAGAATTATTCGGCGAACCGCAGCATCCCACACCATCATAATCACATAATCATGCTGTATAATGAATGCAGAGCGAAGCCGAACTGGGCTGGCGTTAAGAGCAAAGTAAACAAGTGCAAGGAATGCGATCTGCCATGCACCTACCTATATATAAATGAATATACACATGTACATATGTAATCTAAATACTTATGAATCTCTCCAAGTACTCTCTGTCTCTGTGTGTGTGTACGGCTGGATGCTCTGAAATTGAATGCCCCAAAGTGGTGTAGGGCGTGGACCTGCACTTAATTGATATTATATTAATTCTTAGAACGAGTTTCGGTTCACGAATTTTTGCGACTTATTGCATGTCACAAGCGAAAACCGGTAAGCAAGATGACCACAATGAGATCTTTTTGCTCGATTTGCTCTGGGCCTTTATATAAGCCGTGAGCCGGCCCGGCTCAAGCTCAAACGGCGACGAGCAGCGGAACGAACAGCAACATGTTGAAGCTTGTGAGTAGCCTGAGCGGCTCAGCTAGGGAGTGTATGCTAATGTGCCTCTCCTCTTTCTCCTCGCGCAGCTCCTTAGCCTTCTTGGACTGTGTTTAGTTGGCGCCTTGGGTGACGGCGTTGATCTGCGTGTCAGCTCGACGACGACGGCGGCGGTGGGCATTGTGGACTCCGGGCAGGAGAAGAACGACGATGGCTCATACCACTTCTTCTACCAGGGCGAGGATGGCTCGCACCGCGAGGAGACAGCCGTTGTCCACAACGCGGGCACCAAGTCGGAGTTCCTCGAGGTGAGCGGCTCCTACTCGTACTTCGACGGCGACGGCAAGGAGGTGGAGGTGCACTACAAAGCCGACGATCACGGATTCGTGCCCGAGGGCAACAACATCTTGCCGCAGATCTCGGAGGCCGCCAAGCTGACCAGCGAGCAGCAGCAGCCGGCGGAGTCCGTCCTCGTCACGGACTACATCAAGCCGCCCAAGTACTAATAAACACAGAGAACAGACCACTCTTAAAACTTTGTCGAGTTTTTATTCGAGTTTTTGTTTTGATTAATGCAGAAACAATTTCAACTAACTACAGGTAGCTACAGGACGCTCTAATCCGTACCACGTTACCTAGCATAGGTATTTAAATTAACAGTGGGACTGGGACTGGAACTGGGATTGGGATTGGGATTGGGGCTCTAAGGACTCGGGGGAATCTGAACTCTATAATACATACGAGCGAGACTTCGTTACAGAAAACAATGCAATAAATATGACATAAGCGGAACATGTATATATATGTATATATGTATATGTATCTATATCGGGGGCTGGCTACTTCTTGATGGGCGTGGCCGTCGCTGGCGGCGAGCGATAGGAGTTGATCAGCCCGACGGCGTTCGGCTTGCGCGTCCTGAGCCGCTGCTGCAGCGTCTGCAGCAGGCCGGCCAGGACGTCGTGGTTTGGTATCTTCTTGGCGAAGAGCAGACGCTTCACAGAGTCGTCGTAGGTCAGCAGCGCCACCATGTTCTGCAGCAGGAAGCACTGGCAGTACTCCAAGAGATTGTTGGCATTGTAAACCTGGCGAGGGAGAGACGAGAAGAGCATTAAATAAAGTTCGAGCTCGCTGGCACTAGATCCTGCCGTGACCCACCTTTGCATGGATATACATGGCCACCACGTTGTCCACATCGACCATTTCGGAGCAGCGTGCCTCTGTGTAGTTGAGTAAAGCCTCCAGCTGGAAGAAGCTGGCGGCCGCCATCAGCTCAAGCACGTCGCCGTGCGACACGTCCAGGGCCTGGCAGCCGCCGCTGTAGAGGAACTGCATCACCAGCTGGAAGATGTGGTAGCGTATGTCATTGATCTGCACGGTGGGCGTGCTGTTGGCGTCGCTCAGCTTGGAGCTGAGCATGCTCTGGAAGCGCGGCGAGGCCGTCACCAGCACGATCTTGTGGCCATAGAAGATCTTGCCCTCGACGCTGCAAGCAAATCGGGATTAGAGACAGAATCAAATTGGGATTTAGGCTGTGGACCTACCGGAAGGTGACATCGCTCAGCTCCGGGTTGTTGACAAACTTCGGATCGATGCGAGTGCCCTGCACTGGCTGCATGGGAGGCTGCTCCTTGAGCGGTTGCAGCGCCTCCCAGCCGAAGCAGGTGGCAAAGATGTCCGCCAGCAGGAGGGTGGTGCCCTCGTTCTTGTTCCGAAAGATGTTGAAGAGCAGCGGCAGGCACTCGCTGACGAACTGGGCGCTGTAGTCGTCCGGGCAGACCTGCAGGAAGTCCTGCAGCAGCTGGTCGATGACTGCGTCGAGGCGCAGCTCGTGGGCCGCCGAGAGCGCGTGCATCCAGCAGTGCAGGGTCCAGGGCACGCCCAGCTTGCGCAGCTCTATGGTAATATCTAGAAGAGTAGGAGTAAGGAGTAGGAGTGGAAATTAGCTCTGGCCAAACATGGATCCTGCTCACTCTGCTGCTTACCCAGGTGATTGTTCTCGGCGCTGTGGTACATGGCCTCCTGCAGACGCTTGATCTGCGTCTTGTTGAGCAGCGGCAGCAGATCCTCGCCAGAGGCCGCCGAGGCAGCGCTTCCGCCGGCGCCGCGCACGCCGCCCACGTCACCCTCGGCGAGCATCTCCTCCAGCGAGAGCACATCCCGGTTGCCCGGCGACACCGGATGCGTGAGCAGCTTGCGCAGGCACGAGCGATGCCCGTGCGCCGCCGCCACGGAGATGGCGCAGAAGCACCCCTTCTGTGCGGCGCCCGCGAAGCACAGCGTGTCCTTCTGCTGGGTGGAGAGGAACGCGTTGGCGCCATGGGCCAGCAGCAGCGCCACCATCTCCAGGTTGCCAGTACCCGCCGCCAGCTGCAGCGGCGTCAGCGTGCACCTCTCCTCACTGCTGCGCGCCCCGCCCTCCACCTTGGCACCGCGCTCCAGCAGGATGCGCAGCGCCACGTAGTTGGCGCGGCTGGCGGCGAAGCTGAGCGCCGTCCAGTGCTGCGTGTCCGGCTGTATGGCCGGGTAGCCCGCCGTGCCCGCCGCCGGCACCTCCACGTTGGGATCACAGCCGGCGTCGAGCAGGGCGTGCAGCGCCACCTCGTCGTTCCGTATGCTGGCAATCATCAGGGCCGTCAGGCCGGCGCTGTTCTGTGTGTCGTAGCGTGTCGTGGGCGGCAGCAGCTGCGCCGCCTGGGCGAGCAGCTCGGCCCGGCCCGTCAGCAGGAGCTTGAAGGCGACGGCGATAGTGGCGCGCCTGCCCAGCTCCGAGGTGTCCTCGCCAATGCTGCTCACGGCCGGCGAGCTGGAGCTGCTGCCGGTGCCAGTGCCCGAGCCCGAGCCCGTGGAGCTGCCCGTGGCGCTGCCGCTGCTGAAGTGCGTCTTCTTGGTGGGCAGCTCCTCGTCGTGTGCCACCGGGCGAATGGGACAGTCCACGCCGGGCAGCAGCAAGCGGGCAGCCTGCGAAAGGAATTCGATTGAGTTCATGGAACAGAGGAATATTCGGATCAAGCTCACCTGCAATATGTCATCCTTGTCAATCATCAGGCCGTTGCGGTGCTCCGCGTGCGCCGAGGCCACCCGCAGCCACTCGGCCAGCGGGGGCAGCACCACATAGGCGCGCTCGTAGCAGAGCTCCTGGACGTTCTGCGTGCCGCTGTTGGGCGGCGCCTGGCCGGCCGTGGAGCTCTGGGCGGCCAGCTCCGTGTGCTCCAGTTGGGAGCAGCGCATGAAGTAGAAGAGCGCACTGAGCGCCGCATTGGAGAGGGCGGCGGCGTGCTGGAACTCCTGCTGGGTGCGCAGCGCCTTCTCCTTCAGCTCGCGGATGCTGCCCACGCAGGTGGCCAGCGAGAAGGGGCTGGCCCAGCGCGGCATGGCCAGGGCGCCGGAGGCAATGCGTCCGGCGTTCAAGTGGGCGAACGGCTGCAGCAGGCCCCAGAAGTCGCCCGAGCTGGCGATGTTCTGATCGAGAGCGGCGGCTGTGATGCTGCTGCCGCCTCCTGCCCCAGCGCCAGCGCCGCCGCACTGCAGCATGATCTCCTCGAGCAGATTCTCGATGCCGGCGCACAGGTAGACCGCGGCGTACTCGTGTATGAACTTGCCCAGCCGGGCGTCCGTCATCCATCTGAAGAAGCTGCCCACCGACAGCTGGAGGCCGGCGCGCGACGACTTGCTCTGCTTGAGGGCGCTCTCGCCGGGCACCGCGAACATGGCGGCGGCGCGCAGGCACGCCTTGGTGCAGGAGTCGGCCAGCGTGGAGCAGAGCACCACCTTGAAGGCGCCGGTCACCTCCTGCTTGGAGCACAGGCCCAGTCCGGCCGAGAAACGCTGAATCTCCCTGGCGATGCGCACCAGAGCCCGCTGCAGCAGGTAGCCCAGCCTGGAGACGACCTCCACCGAGACGTGGTCCGCCTGCTGCTTGCAGCGCCCGTTGCGCAGCACGCGCATGATGCACTGCTGGCTCCACGGCGGATGCTGCAGCTCCACGAGCCGGTTGTGCGAGTCCACCCACACGAACTCATCCGCGCTGGTGCTGGTGATGACCGTCTCCAGCGAGGAGTAGCGGCCCAGTCGGCGGGCCGGCTCCGAGCTCTCCGAGCCGGCGCTGAGGCTGCTGTAGGTGCTGCTGCTCGTCTGGGAGCGCATCGTCAGCTGCTGTATGGCCAGCTTGATGTCCTCCAGTCCGCTGCCGCTCCAGGGCGCCTTGCCGGCCGGCATGATGCCCCGATGGCGTCGCGAGCGCGTGCTGCGATTGGTCACGCCGGCGGCCAGCCGATCCTCGGGCAGCGGCCCCAGTGTCATGCCCCCGGCCGGCGACGAGCTGTGCCCGCCCGTGTCCGACATGCTGGCATGCCCCGAGCTGCGATTCTCGTCCGAGGAGCTGTGGCACTCCTGCACCCGCTGCAGGGCTCGGAACTGCTCATGCTGATGGGCGCGTGGCGCCGGCGTTGACGTCGACGGCGACGTCGGCGTCGCTGCCACTGTCGTCGTCGGTATGCCCAACGTGGGCCGACTGGGCGAGCTCTGCAGGCTGCCGCTCAGCTGCGGCGGCTGCGACTTCACGGGCGTACTCTGCACCGTCAGCCGGGCGGGTCCCGCCACCGCCCGCTGCGGCATGCCCGCCTTGATGACTGGCGATGCCAACTGTTGCTGTTGTTGTTGCTGCTGCTGCTGTTGCTGTGGCAAGGGCAGCGCATTCGCTGCGGATTTGTTGCTGAGCGGCGCCTTGTTGGGCGGCTGCGCCAGCTCCTTGAAGACGCGAGGCGCTGGTGTGGCCATGGCCACCGTCAAGCCAGCACCACCAGCGCCCACCTGCAACGTGTGCGGCGCCAGCGCTGGCTGCGTCTGTTGCTGCGACTGCAGCGGCACCGGCACCGGCACCGGCGGTAGTCCCGTCATCTGACTGGACGCCTGCTGTCCAAAGTTGGGCGGCAAATTTCCCGTGGGTCTGCAATGACACAAGAGTCGAGATTTATTGTATATCAAAATTATATTATTTATTTTAAATATAATTCAAATATAATTATATATTAATTCCATTAAAATTCCATATTTTTATACAAGTTGATAAATAAATTAAATATAGAATTTCGTATATACATATCCTATGAAGTCAGAATAAAAATGTGTGTTTGATATGTTGATAACAGACTTAACAATTTTAAGAATGTTGAAAAAGTTTTAAGCTGATGTGAATTGGTTGGTTGGTTTTTTTTTAATTTTAATTATTTGAATAATACATAAATATATTTATTATGTGCATATATACTATTAAAATATGTTATATATCATTCAAAAAATTAGAGAATAAAATAATAAATATCAAATATCAAATGATGTCTCTTTTTAAACCAAACCGTTTCAACAAAAGTTTTACTCAATCTTTTAATAAATAGATTCAAATCGTTTTTCTCCTACTGCTTTGCTAAGGTTTTAGCATGGATTCGAATTCAGTTACATAAGAACTAAGAGTTATCCCTTAACTCACCAAAGAATATCCTCAATGCAAACATATGTTAAAATAATTTAATTACCTATTATTTAATTTGAATTACCTATTATTTATTATTATTGCAGAATGGAACCACGTAACAGTTAGAGGTGTTAGAATAAATGCTGACAAATAACAGAAAGCAAAGAAGACGCATTGTATCTATAAGCCCCCTATAGGAACTTAGAGAAATCCTATGATATATAATCTATTGAAAATTATGAATCGAGCATAGCCAAATATGCTAAAATATGCCAATGCTAAGGTTTGGCCTAAGATCTTTTACTATCTGACTAGGGTATTATGACACTCTGAAGCAGACTGGCAGAAAAGAGAGCAATAAAATGGATTTATTATGCAAATACTTGGAGACTTGACCCATTTCAAGGCAGCGGGCCATCAGTTATGCAACCAATTAGAATTCAAGAGAGTTTCTCAACCGAAAGTAAACAAAGCAACGCCTAACGGTTGCCGCATCAGCGGCTGCCATGGACTTATCTGAGTATGTATTTGTCAGCCATATTAACGCTTATCTTTCACACCGTCTTGCCAATCTACTTGGCCATCTCTGCATCTGTGTGAGGTTTCCATGTAACTAAGCTTGAGCTTGAGCTTGAGCTTGAGCTTGAGCTTGAGCTTGGACTGAGGCTTGGTCTTGGGTGGTGGCACCTAATTAAAGATAGATAAAAGTCGCTGATGCCCTTGCTGCGTCTTGCGAAACTTTGTCACATTCTTTAAGCAGTTTGTGAAACAAAAGGGGACTTAGGCGTTTCCTAAGCTGAAGAGCTGTTGACAATATGAGTTAAGCACTTTCGCGTGTCTGCTCAACTCCATCAAATAAAATAAAATAATAATCTTCAAGTGACTGTCAAGCTGCATAATCTTTAAGGAATTCAATTAATTTTTCGACAAAACAGAATTAAGATTTTAATATGAATATCTGCTATAAATATTATTTGACTTTAAGCTTAGTTCTATAAAATTCAATGACAATTTTTAAAGAAGTTCCTTGACTTTGTGAATAAAACGAAATTCAATTCAACGATGCTATGTGACTTAAGCTTAATTCCATCTTTCATATTGAAGGAATTCTTTGTAAATTAAATCTCAAATATGAATATTGACTTGGATCTCTACACTTCTAACTGGAATCACAACTTATTTTCTGTTTCATCATCAGCTTCAGATAGAGTATTTATTAGAAGAGTATCACGATTAAAAGGTTTCCTTTTGTTTATGAAAGTGGGTTGCCATTCGTTCTCACATTTCTGCACTGTCGTCGGCCCCACTAAATGGGCCCGACCAACAAAAAACCCCAAAGAAAACAGAATACAGCAAAAAGACTCGAAAATTAAGAGGCAGTTACGAGCGCTCATTTGCATGGCGCACAGACCGAAGTTAAATCGGTTGCTTTTATTATGATTTTTGATTTCATGTTGTAACATAAAACGTCGCGAGGTCTCCATGTTTGACTGACCCAGAATTTATCTGCTTTTTCCTCTTTTTTTAGCCACCAAAAACTGTCCATTGTTCTGCCGATTGTTGCGCTAAATACGATTTATAGCTCCTGAATTGTCTTACAATGCTGAGACATGAGCTCATTTGGCCGACTTGAAACGAGCAGTGACCTCTCGTCATTATTGAGCTGTATCAATATATATATATAATATAACTAAATACATATATATGTGTGAAACACACATTGGCTGTTTGATTGACTGACTGGCTGATTGATCAATGCATTCGGTTTGGCATAGTTTGGCTACTTCCACTCTTTAGTGTAAACATTTAATGGCAAACGGATGCTGGCAATGCTAATGTTTACTATGCAAACTACTTTAATCTCTTTAAATCTCACTTTCAGTCATGACATGCTTTACCCTATGATTTACACCATGATTAACACTATGAGGAGGAAGTTGTCTGTGCTTAATGAAGATATTCATTCTCAAATCAAAATGCAGCTGCTTTGTTGAATAAGTTTTGAGAACTGTTTAACATGGTATATTGAGTTATATAAAAATATGGACTTGAAGAGAAGAAAATATAAAAGAGAAAGACATGGGAAAAGAGAGATTGAAATGTTAAAAAAGAAATCAAAATAGAGAGAGAGAGACAGAGAGGGAAAGGGGAAGATAATGAAAGAGAGAGAAAATTGGAATAGTGATATAGAGATAACTAGAGAGAGACAGACACAGAGAATAAATAGACGAATCGATAGAGAGAGGAAAATAGAAACAAATAGAGGGCCCAATTTTGAACGGATGTTTTCAATAATGTTATTGCTCTGTTAACAGTTCGGTAACAGCAATTTCCTAGGGTACTGTTAACGAATATTTTGCTCCCAACTTATCATTTCTTATTAAAATTATTAACACTGTTAACTAACACTGTTAAGTAAAGTTTAATTTCTGAAGAACCTCCCTATTTTTCACTTCTGTTCACCTGTTAGTACACCAAAATTTTCGTTAAAATTTTGCTCCCAGCAGCAGCAGCAGTCGATCGCAGAGATAAAATGAAACGGTTGTTAAAAATATCATACACATATAAAGTTCCCGATCCGCCTACATTTTCCGATATGCCAAAAATCATATTACTTAATGATGAAATAATAATATTTAACAATATTAATATAATTAAAAAAAATAATACAAAATATTCTATTAGAAAATGTAAGATTTAAATGGCTAGCAAATTATTTAAAAGCCTATTCCATACTTATCAAATCTTTCGTCTTAATATAATAGTCTACAGAAGGGAATCTTAATGATGTAACTGAGCTCGCACTAGCCTGCAGCACTTTCCAATTATTATTCCAATTTTAGTTAGACAGGAGAATATTAGGGAATTAATTGAGCACGCTCGAGCCTGTGGCATTTTCCAATTATTATTTCAATTTTAGATCTGAGTTAGATTATGCTAATTTTATAATTGCAACAGGAGAAGCTTGATTCATATTTCCTCTAATTAGACAAATGAGATATGCAGATGTAAAGATTTCTGTTTTCGCTTTTACTCTCATGTAAGCCCCTCCCCCCTTATGCAAATGGAAACTAAGCCCCAAAATGGGTTTTCACTTGCCAGTCTGTGGGCAAGCCCTAGCTGGCTGGTTGCTTTCACAGCGCCAGAATGGGAGCTCAGACAACAATTGATGCAAAAACGAAAACGGAGGGCAACCAGCAATGGCAGTGGTGGAAAATAAAAGAAGAAATAAAATGGATGGAAAATAATGGCAAATCATTTAAGGCATTTTCACTACCGTCTCGCGGCGCGTCGCCACTCCTGAACGTAACTCCAATCGCATGAATCTGACTGACTCGCGGTCTCCGCATCGTGGCCAGGGCCAGAGACGCTGTCATCATCATCATCATCGTCATCGTCGTCGTCGTCGTCGTCGTCATCATCATCGTCATCGTTGCCAGCATTATCATGATGATCAGCTGCAGTCGGTTTGCTGCCAGCAGCATCGGATTTCATTTGGCCAACGACGGCCAGAGTTGGCTTTGCCACCGTTTCCACCAGAGCGCTGGCGCGCCGGTAATTGCCTTCAATTCTGATATTAATTACGCCGTTCTGCACGCTCTCAATGTAGGGCGGCAGTTCATCATCAGCGTTAGTCTCCGCGGCAGCCCCCTCTGCGCCTCCTGCACCCACCAGCACCTCGGTCTGGGGCTTGCCGTTGTCATTGGCCTGCAGTTTTTGGGACATCTCCTGCAGCAGCTGCGAGTGGAGATTGCCTCCATCTGGGGGCAGCTTTGGAGTCGATGCGGGTGTCGGCGACTGCGGCTGCGGCTGCTGCTGTGCCCGACTCATGGAGTCACCGAAATAGATGACCACCTTGTGATTTGGTTTGACCTCGCGATCACCCAGATGCCCATTTCCATTTCCATTCCCATCACGATCCTGCCGCGCCTGCTCCCGCCTGCGCTGTGTGGCCGCCCAGTCGGGCAGCTCCTCGATGGGCGTGGGCGAGGGTGTCTGCGCTGGGCGTGGCAAGTCGCGCGGCTGCGACTGACACATCTCGCTGTTGCGCAGCGACTGCGGCTGAAAGTTCTTCAGCGAGATGCCGCGACGCCTCAGTATGAAATTCTCATTGAGCATGCGCCCCAGCAGGGAGCTGGGCGGGGCAGCCTTGCCGGCCAGCTTCGCCTTCGGCTTGGCGGGCGACTGGAACGGCATGGCGGACTTCTTGGCGCTCAGCTTGTAGTCGCGCAGCTCGCGGCAGAGGCGGCAGGCGCAATCTTTGGTGCAGTACATGATGCTGGAGCTCCAATATGAATCGAGTTGCACTTCAGTAGATTCGAAATTGTAAATCTTTTAGATGTTGTTGCTGTTGCGGTTGCTGCGGCGCATTAAGCTACGACTTTTGCTTTGGTTCCATTTCACTTTGCACTCGACTTGCGATTCTGACATACACAATTTAATACACCAAATAATAACAACAATTATGCAAATTATAAATTTTCATTGCTCTAGCGCCGTGCGCAGCGTTGCGTGGCCGACGTACGTATCCAAATCTGATTCCGAAACCGAAATCCCGACTCCGACTCCGAATACCGCTCACGCTCACACTTCGAGCTTGACTGAAGCTTGCCAACTGCCAGCCGGCGGCTCAAAGCCAAAGCAGTTGCTGCCGCTGCCGCTACCACTGCTGCCGCTGTCGACGTCGCAACGTCAGCCGCGCTGCCGAGTCATTGTCTAAGCGCGTCGACGTCGCGACGTCTGTTTTTCCTGATTTTCACAGAGTGTAGCGCAGGCCTTTGGGGCCCAAGCCCATGCCACCTTGCAGGTCTTTGGCTTGGGTAATTTCAGCTGCCGTGAGTTGTTGTTTCTCAGCTGTGTGACCAAAACAATGGCACAACTGTAACATCCAACAACAGCCAACAAACACCACCAGCAGCAGCAGGCGGAGATCTACTCCAGGGCAGAGCCCAACAGTTGTGTGTACTTCGCTTGAAAGTGATATTGTGATTTTCGAGTCACTGTGAATGCACGCTGGGTGTTCGCACACAGACGTTTTTCATGTACTATATTTTTTATTAAAATATATAATAACAAACTGCTATCTCCCCACTCTATACGAGAGGTATAGTATATAAATTTAAGCATAATTTATATCATTTCTATACTAAACTAATAAAAATATAAGCTAGAAAATAATTTATAAAGAAAATAAGAAACTAGTAAATAATGAATAAGAAATAAATTAATAATGATAAATGAGAATGAACAAATGTATAGAATAATTATTAAGCAATGTCAAATAAATATAATGAATTCAAAAAATAAACAATATAATAATTAAATATAAATAATAAATTTATAAAAATAATATATAAATGAAAAATTTAAAAATTAAATTAATAATAAACATAATAATTTGTTGAGAAAATGTAATTAAAATGATTTCCCATTTTCAATGGGTTCAGGGTATAAAAATATACATATGTATATATTTATTTATGATTACTGATATTGCCTAATAATTTATAAATAATAAAATTAAAAATTATATAATTAAAAATAGATAAATAGATAAAAAGAGATAAATAATATACAAATTAAATGATTTAAAAAATATATTAGGATAATAAAGTAATACAATTAAATATAGAAATATGTCTAAGTAATACACAAATTATTTTTGTTTTTTATATTTTTGATATAATGAAGAAATTCTTTTAAATAAGCTTTTCATAAACTTTATGTTTTGATTTTAATGCATATATCAAGTACTCTAAATAAAACATAATTTCCATCTTCCTCACTTATATATAGTTAAAAGAGCTCAAGGTTTTTCTCTAACATTATTAGAGTCAAGTCGCGATTCAGCTCATCTCTATTCATAGACTTCATGAATTTAATTATGCACAAGACCACAATGAGGCATACCGGCAGAGAGAGAGAGAGAGAGAGAGAGAGAGAGAGAGAGAACTATGTGGCCTGGGACGCACTCGAAGGTTATACAATCTTGACACTTATCAGATCGTTTTGCCAGCTTCCTTCCGCGCCTGGGCCCAAGATCACGTTTTGTGTTCTGAGCATGTGCAGACACGCGTAGGTTTTCAAGATACATCTGGCAGATACATTTCATGTGTAGCGTAGATAAATCGCTGGCCGTAACCTGCTTCTAATGATTTATACCAGCTCATCTTGTTGATATAACGGTCTTTTGAGGTTTTTATTGGGTAGCCAGCAGTCATCAGCCAGCAGCCAGCAGCCAGCTGCTACCCATCTGAGGTTCTTTTGTGCCAATGAAGAATTACATCCTAGGGCCGTGCCCGGCAAACCACAAACGAAGCCCGAGCGCAATTAGAAAGTTAAGACCGATAGCTGGTCATTTGGAGGGAAAGAGTTTAAAGCCGCCCACGTAATGCGGAAAAACTTTGGGCGGGCGCTACCTCTAATAGAGGCTCGCTCTGTGCGTACGGCGTACTCTCCGCCCGTTGGATTATACAATAACTTTCATCGTTTCTCTGGTGTTTTCCTCTGTTTTTCGTGTCTTTTTCTGTTTGCTTGTTTTTCTGCTTCTAGTCTACCCCGACTGGCCGACTGGCGTTGTTAATTATTTAAAACATAATGTTGCTCGAAACAATTTGCGCATTAAAAAGCTTAATTTACGGAATTGTAATGACAGACTGTAAATAAGTATGCGTACAGCCATTAAGCACGGCTCCAGCAGGCCCCCAAAAGCAAAAGTAAACCAGAGAGTTTAATGTAATATTTGCGTGTTTATTAAACAACTCAACCAAAAACTTTAAGATATATATATAGGTATATACATATATATAAGAAAAGTAGAAAAACTGGCCGAAGGCGGCAACTGTAGCTCAAAGAAAAGCCCAAAAACCTATTAGTTGTGCCCGGCCCCTTGGGCTGCAGTGCTATGGACAGACTATCCAAGCTGCCCGAACTATCCAAGCAATCCGAAACTATCCAAAATATGTGTGTCACTTCAGTTTGAGGTCGACTAATGGGATTGCAGTACATCGCGGCTTAGGTTACTTTCGTTTTTCAAGTCAGGAAATTGTGCTTCAGAACCATTAATAATTCGCCTAGCCAGCCAGCATCGTCCAGACATAAGCCAATATTTTTGGTTGCTAATTAGTGTTGTGGTTCTAGCCAAGGTTAGCGTGAGTCTTACGCTTTTTGTTTTCTGCCAACTCGGGTCTGAGTGAAGTCTGCTATCAATAATCCACGATGCAAGAGCTTTCGACACTTCTTTGACATAAATTGCTTAAGACGAAATATGTTTCTAATTTTGTGTCAAGTCACGTCTGGGAAAACAGAATAACCGAAAATATTTTTGTGCACATACATGTATGTGTGTGTGTGTATAGTTTTATATATATTTTATTACAAAGAAACGCACTCAGATCTTGGATATTGCAGAGATTGTTGTTTTAGGTACAGTTTTAAGAGAGAAAGAGGGAGAGAAAGAGCTTGGATTTATTCTCGAACTGGTTTAGCTCGTTAATGAAATATTTATGTTCAACTTTTTTTTGTGTTGGATGTAAATCAGAGAAATTTGTAATTTACGGTTGAATTAGTTGAATAAATCAACAAAATTTTGATTGAGAATCCTCGTATGTTGTCTCATGGGTAAACTCAAGCCTAAAGCCTGTATTTAGGTATATCTCTATGCTATTAATAATATTTTTACAAAATGTCATATTCAGTCTATAATATAAGCCTTTGCAGCTGAATGATAAATGAAATAAAACATACAGAAATACCTTGAGAAATAACTTAAATATATATTTGAACAAATTTTTGACTGCCGGCTCCGGCTCCGCACATGATGAAATTGTGGGGTCGAATTGATTTACCATCGCCACTTTTAAAACCAATTAATGAATTATGAAGATGTTAGCTCTTTCATATAATGAATGCCCTTTAAAGATAAATTGAAACAGTTTTGGCGCATCTCTGAAGCGCTTATTTCTGCTCGCAAATATTAATCATAATCATCAACTGCAACTGGCATTGGTAATTCCGCGCATGATTGGTCATCTAAACATTATTTTGTGTACGATTTCAAACAGGAAACGTAAAAGAGGTCAAAGACCAAAGACCAAAGACGACTACGTTGTGCGTTTAGTTTTGTATTTTTTCTTTTTGGATGTTTGTTTATGCAGCTAATTGCAGTTGTTATATAAGGGCTTTAGCCCCAGCGTATATCGCACTTGTTTCATTTTTTTCTTTTATTGTTATTATTATTATCATTATTTTTACTGTTGTTGTTGCTGCTGTGTTGTGTGCGCGGCGGCTCTTATGAAACGCAGAGCGTTTTATGCATTAGTAGCTACAAGCGAGCCTTATCATTACATCGCACCTGATCCACAGATATATAGATAAATATGCGCCGATTGTGCGCGGGGCGCTAACAAGATTTCCGCATTTGGCTGCTTTACATTGGCCATTAACCACGGCGCCAGCAGCTGGCAGATGCGGTCATTGGATGCGAGTTGCTTCGCTTCCGTTCGCACTCGTACGCTACCCCTCCCGCTCGACCTGCCCCTGCCACTCGCCCACCTAACCAATTTTAAATCCCATTTGGCCTCAACGACTTAATTAGTTGAGCGTGTGACGTTGAGACGATTGTCTATCCACAGCTGACTGCAGATATCAGCAGCAGCCGCAGCAGCAGCCGCAGCAGCAGCAGCATCTGGTGCACTGAGCAACAGCTGATGGAAACTCTGGTCTCTGGCTTAAGCTGTGCAGTCTGGCCTGACTTCAGATACCCTATGCTGATGACATCCCTGGCTACTTAGCCACGTTCTGGTCTAGTACTTGACTGCAGCTGACCTATAGCCATAAAGCGATCGGAGAAAGTTGTCAAATGAGTGGACAGAGTCTGTGCCAAATTATGATTCTGTCATGAACTGAATTCATGGCATTGTATTTACATAATACCCTGTAAATACGAAGTGAATTTAGAAAACATAATTGTACCTAATTGATTTCGTTTCAAATACTACTTGTTCTTCAATTAAAAGTTAAACAAATATGATACACCATACACAAAATATATGTATTCAATTATAATTTATACATATAATTCATTAATATTTCTGATAAAAAGCTAAGCTGAGCCTATCTAAATAATATAGCAATTTTGCTCATATAAAACAAATTCTATTTTATGATTTGTTATTAAATTTTAAGGGGTATCTATTAGTCAGCCTTAGCTCCTGCCTTTCTGCATGATGTTTCTATCTAAGCTGCGATTTGGCTGTTAGTAGATAGTCGCATTTTGACAAACGTTAAAAGTATCTCACAGATACATATGGGTAATATGCCGAGCTTGCCTATGTGTGCGTTTGTACATCTGTATGTGTGTGTGTGAAAGAAAGTGTTGGCACAGTGCATGGGCATGGGCACGGGCACAGCCATGGACAAGGTAAAAAGGTAACTAACTACATTTTCACTTGCCTCGCATCGTCGTCGCATTTTTAATGCTGCGCTGAAGATGCTTTAATAAAAAAATGTAACAACTATGGGGGTTTAATGCCCTCGACTCCAGGCCCCAGACCTCAGAGACTAGAGCCCAGAG